GAGTTGTTTCAAGACAATTTGACTCTGTAACACAACATACTAACAGTTATTATTCCCGTTTGTTTTTAGAATAAATATACACATATATAACCGATCCCTGATCGGGGTGTAATGCCCGATTCCGATCAAGTCTGAAACCATGTGATCGGGGCCGATTTCCGATCATGTGATCGGCTCGGGACATCCCTACTTTTATTCCTCTGCATCAGCACAAGCAGCCCTGTGCTGGAAATCAGCCGTTTCACCCGCTGGAGCTCGCCTGACGACTTTTGATCGCTTATATCTCCGCAGGGAACGTCCCGGGAACTTGCAACCACTTCAGGTTATAGCGGAGATCCAGAACTTTTAAAATGAGCCACTCCTGCCGGATCCGATGCTCAGAGCCGGCGCTAGAGGCTCCGGAGTAAATTGAGTACTATATCACCCGCCAAAGCGCCTTTTTTGGCCGGTCGTTGGTTAATAGCTCCACGGGGGGACGTCCCAGGAACTTGCAACCACCTCCAGTTTGTGGAGGAAGAGCTTTCCAAAGACATCTCACTTTCCTGGATCCGATGCTCAGAGCCCGCAGGAGAAGCAAACGAATGTTGAAATTTCCTCCCGAAAATGTGCGTAAAATACACTAAGTCGTGCATAATTTGTTTATATCTCCACGGCGGAACGTCACAGAGACTCCATTCAAGTATCCGCTTGTAGGCCAGTCTGGGATCCGATGCTCCTAGCCTGGGGAGGGGGCTAAAACCAGCCCCGGCGGAGGTCCGATGGTGCGTAATTTTGGAGGTTTTTTGCTTATATCTCTGCGGGGAAACGTCACAGGGACACCATGAACTTTCGCCTTGTAGGGCAGAACCAGAGCTTTCAAACAAGACCAGCCAACCCGGGATCCCATGCTCAGAGTCGGCGCTAGAGGCTCCGCAGCAAGTTTTCGCTTTGCGGGCACCTGGGAACCATCTGGTGGGCGACCAGTCACCCGCGAGCGACTGGTTGGGCACCCCTGCTCTAGCTGATGAAAAGTGTTCCACAGTTTGGATGTTTGGTTCATTGCAGGCATTAATGTTTTTGTTGGAGATCCTGGTTGTTACGTGCGGAGCAGACGCTGGGTTATTGGGGTGCAAATGAGCGGTGGTGAACTGTGCAGTCAGAATCAGAACAGATGGATCTGAGAACAGAACAAACAGAACTGAGTGCTCATCCCTTCATTCCTCTGATGATCTCGATGTCGATCAATAGCTCAGGCTTTATAAACATGAGGCACAGGGTGTTTTTAAAAGTATCAACATTGCACCAAAGTTTGATTCATTTATTCTGCTTCAATAGAGACAGTAGAAACATACAAGTCAGATTTTCTCACCATGAATTATGTTTTGTTTCAGGGCTGCAGCTGCTGGATCTCCTCCCCAAACTAAGGTACTTTTGTTTGATCACTTAATGACGGATTAGTTACAGGCAGTTTGTGACGCGTCTACGTCTCCAGGGACACGCAGGACGAGGACCTGAACATCCAGTGCGATGCGTTTGAGGACTCCATGGCCGAGGACGAGGACGAGATGGAGAAACTGTACGGAGGCATTGACATGAGCAATCACCAGGAGGTCTTCAACTCGCTCTTCACCAAGGTACCCACTCCTCAAACCCCACCTGACCCGATGCTCGCCTCCCACCAGGGGTCCTCCACTTACCATGTCTCTGTGTCCAGGTGTCTAGCTGTCCATCCTCTGTCCAGCTGTTGTCCATCCTTCAGGCCTTGTTGATGGTGGATCCGTACCAAGCTAACGTCTGGTTGGCTCTGGAGAAGCTGACTGATCGAGCCACCCTGCTGGCCCAGGACCGTAAGTCAGAGAATTAAACATCTGGGTCACGTGGGGGGTCTTCAAGGATTCAGACGCCTAACTGGGTCGGACTTTGATCTGATTATTTGTTATAAAAGTGTGTTTCTGTGTTTTATAGCTGATTTAGACTCAGGAGAGTCACTGCTGGACAGGCTCCTCCCCCAAAAATCTCTCTCGTCCAATCAAAAGATCCCAACGGTTGACAGGGGCGTTCAGACCCGGCTGTTGAACTATCCTGACGAATCAGAGCAACCCAGACAAAACACTTTAACACTGCCACAACAGGCTCCTCCCACTTCCACAGCTTGTCCCCCACCTCCCCCTCCCCCTTTACTTGGAGCTCCACTTCCCAATCCCCCTCCACCGTTACCTGGAGTTGGAGCTCCACCCCCTCCTCGTCCACCTTTACCTGGCATGGGACCTCCTCTTCCTCCACCTTTACCTGGCATGGGACCTCCTCCTCCTCCACCTTTACCTGGCATGGGACCTCCTCCTCCTCCTCCTTTACCTGGCATGGGACCACCTCCTCCACCTCCTCCTTTACCTGGCATGGGACCACCTCCTCCACCTCCTCCTTTACCTGGCATGGGACCTCCTCCTCCTCCACCTTTACCTGGCATGGGACCTCCTCCTCCTCCTCCTTTACCTGGCATGGGACC